ATGATGTCTGAGCCCCTGGGAACCTGTGTTGTGCGGAGCGACTTGGCCCGCTTAGGTCGTTGCCTTCAGATTGGCGACAATTCTATGGCTCAAATGCACGCAGATTCAAACGCCCTGTACATGGGCTCCACCCCCAAGAACCATCCCTTTTTGTTAAGGCTTATTTCAGTGGCGGTGTTTGGGAGCCTCATCAGTCATTCGTATGCCACCTTTCACTGTTTAACATGAATGCAATCTTTCGCAGTTTGTTGAGAGGTCGAGAGAATGGACCGCTCCAACGCATGTTTGGCGCCATCAGTCAGGTTGTTTTGCGAATGACTCCCAATGCTTCCCAAAGCTGGCGCCTGGATCCGGAACACTTTGCCACCTTCTCCTGCCCGTTCGATGCATCTCTTTTTTTTCTGTTTTTCAAGCTGGGAGGAGGTACCTTTCAAGTTGAGACGTTAAGGGATAGCCCGCTCCCCATAGCCCGCCTTAAGGGTCCATGACATGAGGGTCATTTGTTTTTGTTGTGTGTACACCTACTCCCAGTCGCCGGATGCTTGCTGCTCCCAGCCCCGCTGAGGCTTAGGCGGTGCCGTTGGTGGCGATGTTTTTTTGTACCCCCTCCAAAGTTGTTGGACATGGATCCCAACCGAAATGATGTCCACCAAAGGATCGCCAATTAAACTTCAGACCCATGTGGATGTCTCATTTTGTGGGGAGCATCTTTGGTGCTTTTCCGGAAAACACCCATTTGGGGTACGGTGTGCTGATTTTCAAACGCAAACACACATATCTTCCAGCGGTTCCGCTTGCCTTGGGGCCATAAGTTTTCGGCGGCACAAGAAGAAATCGCCAGGCGTGATTTGGCTGAAACTCTGGGGGAGCTGTCGGCGGGCGGGCAAAGATGCATGCGAGTGCTCTATTATAATATTATATACATGGCTTCACCGGTCACCCTCAAAAAGCTTGGTGGACATACATCTTGCTGTCAATGATGTCCGGCAAAGGGTCCCCAATTAAGATTCAGACACGTGTCGCTCTGAGTCAAGTCTAGGATTCTAGGAACCTGTTGTGAGAACCGGCCTCAAATTAAATGATGGGGTCCCTAGTGTTGCACCTCATATCTATCAGGGTTGATGTTGCAGGCTCTGTATGTCAGGCATCATTTCGCTGGTGTGTTTTAGCTCGTCTCTGAGGGAGGAGCCTGCTTTGTGTGAAGCTTAGGACGCGATGTTGTCAAGCATCCTGTTTGTGGAATTTGCGCTTCATATCAAATTGGGGTGACCTGTCAACAGGGCATCAAACGTAGATTTTGCCTAGGAACCCGGGCAACATATTGCAACACATCCATAGACTGTCATTTATGTCAGCTAGGGGCTAGAGGGTCTTTGCCTTTCAGTATGTCAGGAGATTTTGGGTTATACATGCCAAGTGACCATGGCCACTCACTTTCAGGATCCTTTTCGGATGCCGTCCGCTTCCCCGCTTCCCCGCTTGGCTTGCGTCGGCCTGCTGCAGAAGTGCACTGGCCTCGGGTGTTTGAGGCTGGCCCCTTCTGAAGGGGCCAATCGCCAGCTTTTATCTCGGAGGAAAAAGAGATCAGAGGAGTAGGCAACATGAGCCACAATCAAATCCCGAGCAAGTGATGGTTAAGAGTTAAGAGACCATCCCGTTCAATAGGTGTCGATATCTGATTTCTTTAGATTGTGGGTAGACCTGCTGTCTATTGCACCAGATTTTGATTGCCACGTGATGGGATTCTTCACAGACTTCAGGAGTTGGGGGCTAGTCGAGAGATGTCGCTGGACGTTTGTTCAGAATCGAACTAGTCAAAAGACCTGCCCCAAGGTTCCGCCTTTTGCTTCCTACCCGAGCGCCCAACACCCCCCCCCCCCCCTCGACCGGGCCATTTTAATAGGTGGTTCTACGGCAACGCGTCCTTGACTTATGAAGATACGCAAGTGATTGCCATGAGTACCTCGGTTCATGACCATGAATCAGAAGAATGAGTCAGGACGCGCGTGCTTTCACCCGCGCAGTTAAGTGGATCCCCAAGTGTCGAAGTTTTCCCCGCTCACCCCAGCTTGGCGTTTGGCAGCCGCATGGCGTTAGGCAGCCGCATGCAAGATCATCGGGCGTGAATCTGTTTTTCATCCATGAATCGTTGCACATGTTACGTTTCGTACACTGTGCAGTCAGCAAGAGTCAAAGGGCGTTGCTCACTTTGAAAGGGATCAGAGCCTGAAAGGGGCCCGATCCGGCTGATTCTACAAATGAAACCCAAGCAGCCGCCCACCCCAGTTAATGTCGATGACCAAGTTTCCTTGTTACCACTGGGGTCTTTTGTGTGCTGGAGCGAATAATTTGGCTTCCGAGCTAGTGGTTTTCTGTGAAGTGAAGTCAGCCAGGGATGTGATTTGTTGGTTCATTCACCCCTTGTGGTGGACGTCATGTCTGGTTCCTGCCCCAAAAAGCCGCAAAGGAGGTCCCCCATGGCAATTTTGAGGGTATGCTTTTTTGACGCCCTTCAACTTCAGCTGCTTTACAAAGAAACGAAGGGGAAGGTACCAATCCGTGCGATTTTGTTTACCCGTCATTCGGCGAGCGCCTGGCAGGTGAAGCTACAAAAGGACGTTTTGCGACAGTGAGGCTCCATGTTGTGACCTCAAATTAATGAGATTTGCGGAGACCGCAGATTTTAAAGTCATTGCAGGAACCGGGGGGTTGCGGGGCTTCCTATGTTTGAGCCACATGCATTGGTGTATGTGGCCCCCGCCCAGTGCGCCGCAATAGGCCGTGCTGTTTGGTCGAGAAAGAGCGACCGGAATTCAGCCGGCCTTTTTTTATCGAGGTGCTGGGCCTTTGCAGTCTGATCGGCTTGGCCCTGGAGGGTTAGGGCCTCTCAGGGTCCTTGCCTTGACACTTTCCGAGCGCGAATGGGGATTGAATCCCCTCCTCGGATTCCTCGAGAATAGCAGCGACTTCCCGCGGACATTCCCGAATGGAGCGAACCGCCGATGGGCTGCAAACAGAGCAAAGTCATTGGTTGTTTCACTGCTTCAATGTTTGCAAGCAATTGAATGAACAATTTCTTGAGATTTGAACGGGTGTGTTCTGTTGCCACAAGTAAACCGATCACTTGCGTAGAGTTGCTCAAGTTGTGCTAGATATGATTCGACATGCACCAAACTGGAAAGCACGACTCTTGGACCGTTCTCGCACCCGCAGGGCAAACGCATGCGCATATGCACGTCGCACTTCCGCAACCACGTACGCCCCACAAGCTTAGCATGTTGTTAGACCCCGTCCTTTGGTCTCGAGTCATTTGCCGTGGCAAAGTGGAATGCTCCGCTGGGCAGATTTTCAGTCTCTGTTCCTCTTCGACGCTCAAGAAGTCTACGCCACTCCTTTTGCCAAAAAGGTGCGATCGAGTCCACTCTCGGAATCTCTCGTGGCCGTATTTCTGGGCACTTAGTCAGTGCCGCTTCTCTTGGTCCTTGCTGTTTCATCCAGTTGCGTAGTGTTGCGTAGCACTGTCCTTTCCCCAGGGAGCTGAACGCTGTAATTCTCACTTCTGAAAGGGGGTGATTCGCGATTTTGGACGCGTTTGGGGTGATGGGATCGGATGCGTTTGGGGTGACTCAGCAACTGCAGATGTTCCCAGGCGCAGGGGTGCGAGTGTAGGCAATTTGTGCAAATTCCTGAGTGTCCAGAAGGATTGGTGCTGTTTGGTTCTTTGAAGCCAAAAACTGGCCAATTTGGGGGCAGTCCTTTTTCGCATCTTTTTGTCCATGGACCACTTCACTCCAGCAAAAGCTTCCTGGGCAACATGGGTGTTTTTGTAGGGTACCCTTTTGGGGGTTTCAAAGAAGGGAAGCAACCCATTTTCAGGGTCAGAATCCACACAAATGGTCCAGCAAAGTTCAAAGCCAAACACCTGTCGGGAAATGTTTCAAGTTGGCGAAGTGGTTTGCGTGGTTTCTGACGCCGATTCTTGGGCTGCGGATTTTAGCGCAACCTGCGATTTTGCGGTTTGATTTTAGCTGGTCTTTGGTGTGATGTTTGAATGCAACATATCGGGGTGCCTTAAAACAGGAGACCCCTACCGCTGGGTTTTCTTTTGGGGGCCCTTTTTTCAACCATACCCAAAAGGCACCCTCAACAGAAGACACGCCCACGAACAGAAGCTCCGGTTGGCTGAACATTCATGAACCCATTGATAAATGGGGGGGGGTTGTGTCCAGTTTTAAACACTTGGGCCGTTTGGGGAAGGGCCACCTTGTCAATTTGAGCCACGCACGAGGCCACGTCCATCCAGGATTTGCGGAGCGCCTTGCCTGACGTTCCGCTTGCTCGCTTGCTGCTGCTTTACCATGAGTTGCTGTCATGCGGCAGCAAGTTCAGGCGAGTTGGTAGATACTGCCCATTAGGAAATCCCACTTCTAGGCATGTGAAAACATGTGGCCATTACAGCCCGTGTTGTTTCTTGTATAATTTACATGCGGCCTGGGACGACAAGTATCACCACCATGCCTCTCACCCTCACCTCGTTGCTACCCCTCCTGACCGCCTACAGCGTTTGGCTCTGTCGGTTAGTGGCTGTCCTCTGTGAGCTCTGAGCGCTGTTCAAAGGAGAACGGCACAGGCCCTTTTGCACCAACATCTTAGCTTCGGGAACAAGGCCTGTTCGCTCACACAGCAGACCCGGAGACTTTGTTCAGAGAGGTATTGCCCTATGCCCAACTGTTTTGCATTGCACTGGGTCTACATGATTCGTTTAGGGGCAGCCACAAGCATTCGCTTTCATGTTGTACCCCTGGGAGCAATCTGCAAGAGCCGTTCAACTCTTCTGAAGAGTTGCAACATCCTTGATCTCGAATCGAGCGGGCAGTCTTGCTCTTAGGCTAAACGACATTTGGACAAAGCAAACAAACAATTATTGGCAAGCAACAGACATGAGTTGTTTTTCGAGTTGGATCAGACCCCCCCCCCCAAGAGGCACATCTTGCTCTCCGCTTGTGCCATTCCACTGGGCGATCGGCTGTCGACGTTTCTTTCGGCGTTCCATGGGCTCGGCTTCACCGGGGAAGCCGGCTTCAGGCCGGAGAAAGGGGCGGCAGCTTCGCTGGACACGACCAGCCATTTGCTAAGGTGTAAATGCTGCCCTGTATCTAGCAGCCTGATCCGCAACGCTTCCTATTCGTGGCCGAAGGGATATGTATGTAGGTGGTCTTTTTCGCAACGTTTAAGCCACACCTCCAGTGGTGACCTTTTTTCGAGTTTCCTTTTTTTGGAGGGGTTTCCCTTCAAACACTACCAAAAATGGTGCCTTGTTCCCATGGGCACCAAGGGCCTGGGTTATTGGACACTTCTTCGACTTAGTGCGACTTCTGATCTTGCTGAAAAGCCCCTTGCACAAATCGGCGCCAATGCAGCTTGCCCCGAATGGCCATGCCCCTTGCAACATGTGGCAGAGACGGGGCTCTTTGTGAAAGTGCACTTGATGAGTGCATAGGTGTCCCTTTGAGTTCGTTTGGTTGAAACATAGAGGGCGATTCCTGGTTTACCTGGTGGTGAAAAGTCATCTGCCAGGGCCATCTGTTGTTCAAAAAGGACATCTATGTTGTCCCTGGCAGTGGGGAATCATCACTTTTGGAGAGGAAGAACCCCCCCAAATGTTCGTCATTTTCGCGAGTCCCAATCGGGCAAGGTTCCGATTGGGAGCCCTCCAAGCACAAGTCGTTGCCTTTTTGCTTCTCCCGTATGGATGATCCAGAAAGCAAGGCCACCGTTTGAGGGTCCGTCAATCCACCCGCGACGCATCCTCTCGACTGGAAAGCATGAGCAGGAAGTGTAGCGAGCACAAAGCTCACCTGGGGCTAAAGCAACCTCACTTTTGAAGGATTTGTTGATTTTCTCATAACCCCGTGTGTGTTGGATTCCTGAGGCAAGAAGAAGTGACAGCAAGTGTTTTCCGTGCATCAAGAAGAGGTGACGCCATTTCCCAAGCATTTTCTGCAGGGATTGTGACAGCTGTCAACGCACTTGACCCAAAGCCTCGCTTTCACTTGGAAAGGGAAAAAAGAAGCTCTCCAGGCCGCACGAGGTGCTGTCCTGAGGGTCAACCTTGAGACCCACAGCAAGTCAGAGGCAACATGTCGTTCCCCGCTTTGAAGGCTGAAGCCAACTGTCGCAGTTGGATTTTCCGATTGCCTGCAGGGGAGGTGTCCAAACCCTTTGCCTTGGAAGGTCTAGATGCACTGGACACCATCAATCCGTGTCTTTGGGGGATGGGCGCTTGCGTGAGGTGACCTGCCGGAGGAGAAGGCGGAGTCCGAGAACTGTGAGGAGCCAAGGGGCGGTTGATCGCTGGGATGGATCTTGAGACTTCAAACGTTTAGGAAACCAAGGGAAACCCACAACAAGTGTTCAACTTTGTGCAGAGGGGTTAACAGCAACCAAGCGCCAAGGGGTTGGATCGTATCCCAATTGGTCCCAGTCTTACCATAGCAATTGGGAGGTTGGATCGAGTTCCAAGACTTGTGTGATTTCAAACCATTGGCCTTGCTGGATTCATTGAAGAGAGCGCCTTGTCATTCTACGAGCCTTTGGGCCCCAAAAGCGAGTTGGCCAGGAAGGCCATTTCAGTCTGTTCAGTTCCTATTTGGATCCCTGGGGTTACAGGAAGGCCAATATGCAGTTTTATCAGTTGTGGGCCGCATGCCGGCAAATCACATGGGCGTTACATTGGGCTAGCCGAATTCCAACATTCGAGTCCAACATCATGTGCCTTTGGCCTGAAGCAGCCACGTTTTTGCTTTTCCCGTCGTGTTTTGCCGAGAACTATCGTAAAGCATTGCAGATACCTGCAGATACCTGCAGTGAATGGGAATCCCTGCGCGAACTTGGGATGATGAATCCAACCGGACACATCACATGTTTGTTCACCAACCAAATCGCGAGGTTCATGAATCCTGGGTCAGAGGCAGAAGAGCCCTTGAGGCAGATCAGCAAAGTAGGGAGCCTCTTTTGGCTGGTCTCACAGAGATGGCGCCCTCCTGGAGAACTTCCTGCCCGGTTCCGAGGAGCTCGCGGGCTGCCCTCCGCATGCGGGTTGCCCGCCAAGCAAACAGTGTCTGGGTCTCCCACTGACGCCCTCGGTGCAGTTTGTCTCCCATGTAAAACGAGACTTGGCAGGAGATGGCAGACTCATCCATGAACGCTCTCTTCGCGACCAACTCGTGCTCATCCTCTTCCTCGGCGGAGGGCTGAGTGTAGGTCTCCCTTCGCAAGAGACTGGGCCGTGGTTGTGGGAGAGTGGGTTTTAGGGCCTTTTTTTGTGATACCAAGGGAATCCCATTGAAAGTGACGCGCTTGTTTTTGCAGGACCGCTTTCCGCATCTACTCTGCCTGTGCACTTGCAGGGGAAACTGGCTTTCCAACGGTGTCCAGCCTCTTTGTGCAGCATTCTCAGGGTTGGTTTTTCTTTATGACTACCGGTTCTGAACTTGTGGCATTTTTGCCATGCCCAAGGGGGCAATTTTTCGGTGTTTTTTTACAGATTGCGGTTTGTCCAGGATGCCCACCTTATATCATGACCTGAGTAGTGACAACTCTGGGTGACTCATGAGTGTAGTGAAGCATGAAGTCTCTTGTTTCCCCATCTGGAATCTACGTCCCTGGTCTGGGTCCAGTCGCTCAGATTCTCCAATGGGCCAAGAAAACATGATCAAACATGATCCCAAAAAGCAAAACCGCTTGGTGTGTCTCCTGGTTGAAAGGGTTCCATTTCCCACAGGCGATTCCATTTGCCTTCAAACAGGGCTTGTGAATCTGAGGGTTTTCGGCGACGGGCTTGATCATGTGGGTGTGTCCGTCTTTTTGTGAGATTTTGTGAGGCTACCTCTGTTTTGGTGGCTTTAATGGGAAACCGACTTCACAGCAACCTTGGTTATTTAAAGGGCCACCTTCGGCATCTTGCGGGGGTCCAACCTAGACGAGCCACCCATCTGATTGAAGAAGCCTGCCTCGAAACCCAGGCGATGCCCCAGAAGCGGGAGGACCGCTTGAGAGGCTACGAAGCCATTGGCTTGTTCCTACATGGGGTGCCGTGTTTTCTGAAGGCGGCATGTTTGGTGGTTTAGAGGGAAACCACAAGGAAGCCAGCTTTGGGAGGTCCCTCTATTTTAACAGAGGGGAACTCCAAACAACATGGGGTTGACGTTTCCTGTACTGACGGACGCATGGTTGACACAAATAAGGAGATTCAAGGCCTTTCATGACCCGGCATGGTGAGTCACGTGCCAGTTGTTTCCGAATCTATGTTGAAATTATTAAGCCTTTCTTGTCCCGAGGACCATTTGATCATCTATGTTGCAAAACATAGGGGATCCTCAAATTCTCCACAGGTGTATCTGAAACGAATGGCCCAAAGCAAGTCTTTGCAGATGCTTGGCTTAGCCAAAGCTTCAGAATTGTTTTTGCGATCTGTTTGTCCTGTTGATCCCACGAACAAAAACCCTGCTGCGGCTCACTTGGGTCGAAGGTGTGCCACGTTCGGGACCATTTGGAGGGTCCAACGCCAAGGTCTCCAACTTCATGCTGATGGCTGAATACAAGGGGCTAAAGACAAAAGACACACCCATGTTCAGTCATGATCCTTACAAAATCAAGTGCTTTAGCCTAAAGCGCATCATTGTCTAAGGATCATGACCGAATATGGGCGTGTCCATTGTTTAAAGGGTACCCCTATTTTGATGGCTTTTAGGGGAAACCAAAACAACCACCTTTTTTTGGGGGGGGGGTTCCTAAAAAATATGGACACACCCAACTTCTTGGTGCCGGTTGTTTTTGTTTTTTTTTTTTGGGGGGGGGAGGGGGGGGGCACAAGAACGACCCTGGCGTTGAGAGATGCCCCGCCTGAAGTTCCCATGTTCGCAGGACGAGTCTTTGGATCGGCAAATTGCCGCCTGCCCGCGCCTCAGGGCTTCAGGGGTTCGGGCAACGAAACGTGCGTGGGCGAACCCCGGGGAGTTGGCGCAAAAGATGGGGTGCCGAAAAACGGATGGAGGGTCTGCCCGGTGGTTTTTCCTCCTTTCCTTGGAAGATGGGGTTTGCTTGTGGTTTCCCGACAAAATCAATCCCAAAAAGGGTCTCAAACAGACACCCAAATGGCTCTGCACTTTCAAACAAGCGGTGCTTTGTTGGTTGCTTGATTTGCAAAACGTGACATTTTGCGAGTGTGGTAAGTGACAAGGCCAAGGTCGACTAATTCCACTTCCAACACGGAAGTCGATGAGAGCACAGTCCAATCACCGGTCCAACACTACATGCTTGATGCCAGAATTCCGCAAGTAAACATTCATCCGGCAAACGAATGCAAAGCATGATTTGTGCTCGAAAAGCAGAATATGGATTGACCCGCAAGTCGGTCAAGCATCATTCGCAACTTACCAAGCTGTGCAGCTTGTGCCAAGCTGTTGTGACTGTAAGGGGCCAAAGTTCAGAACTCCGAATGCTGTCAAAGTGACACTCTGGTGGACTTCCCTCCCCCCCCAAAAGAAAAAAATACAAAAAACGGGAAAAAACACCAGAAGCACGACATGGAAACCACAGAGGGAAGCCAAGGAACCCCATGTCACCCACCTTCGACCCGTTGTTTGGTCCACTTCGAGGCTCTGAGGGTGGCGCGCCCAAGAGCGAGCAGCGGCCGCGGGCGCGGATCGAGTGGAGTTGAGTCGTAGCATTGCCTTTGCCAAAGGCATGGCATTTCTGTGGTTTAGGATACATTTTACATCTTGGCGACTCAATTATGCATGTTATAAAACTTTATAACTGTCTAGCTCTAATCATGTTTACCTTGTTTCCCTTTGCTTTGTTTGGTGTTTTCCGAGAGTCCCTGTCAGCCTGCAAAAAGGCTAGCTGTTTTCAGGGGATCTGGGCAGAAAACATGGGCATGCAGGCTTGGGAACGGATATCCAGTGGTCCGTTTAGGAGACCTGGAGGGACACTGATCTTTCCAGGTCTAACGTGAGAACCGCATTTTCCGGCTTACCAGTTGAGTCAAAACTTTTTGCCGGTTGGTTTGTTCATATTTAGTACACCTAAGCAGTTTGAACTCGGCCAGCCGACTCAGCATGCTTAGACTAGGCAGTCCTTTTGGGAGGGTTTCAGAAGGCAAACGTGGACCCCTTGGATGTTGAGCAACGTCAGATTCATCACTTGGAAAGGGATGAAGCGATTCCGACCGTTGCGTACGACCAGCAACAAACCTTTGTTCAAAAGCCAGACCTTGGCCGTTTGAGGAGAAGCAATTGGAGCACTGCCCACGATTAAGGTTCCAAATTTTAGAAGAGACAATTTCCGTGGTAGTTTGCCTGATGCCCATGGCCGTTTTTTTTTTATCGCCTGGGGTGGGGTGTCACTTCGCAGGCGGCGGATGACCCTGCCTTCAGCCTGAAGGTCTCAGTGGAGTGGAAGGCCGACCTTGGGTGAGGTCATGGGAACATGAAGGCACCGAAAGCGGGGGCTTTCTTGACTGCTATTGGGTTGGATCTTTGGACTTTAACTTTTTGGGAAATGAAGGGGTTTTCCACTAAACCCACAACAACTAAAACTTTTTGCAGAGGGGTCCACAGCAACAAAGCTTTGAGCCCAGAACCCACCGGTTTGTCTCTCATGAGACAAATTGGGTGGCCCATGGAATGGAGTCTAGAAGGCACCTCTAGTGTAAACGTCCTTTGGGCTTGTTCTTGAGTTGTGTTTTTGGTCTTCCTTTTTTTTGTTGGGGGAGAACGCCCGAGCTTCCATAATACTGATGTCGATGTTCGGAACCTGTCCGCCCATCAGTTGCAGCGCACCCCACGGTGAGACTTGAGCCGTACCACATTTCTTCCAACTGGACGTGACATGGCGGGTGTCACAGTTTGCCCTTGACTTTGATTTCTGGTGTTTCACTCCCGGACGGCAGAAGTGACTGACGAAGTGTTGGAGCCTTGCTGTCTTGAAGGCTAACATGCACTTTCCAGGAGCCGAACCCAAATGGAACATTTGGCAAAGCCGAGGCTCTCAGCAAGTGGCTCCAGCCTGATTCTCTGCAAGCGATTCGTGTCAAACGGCCGCGCAGCTCATAAGCTGCGCCCAAACAATAGTAGTACTACAAAGGTACAAAGGACCCCCTGGTTGCCTGACCAAATTGGTTCCTACCTCTCTGCACAGGCTTCTCATTGCCCAGATTCCTCACTTCCTCAGCCTCCTCCTCTCCTCTCCTCTCCTTTGTCCTCCTCCTCCTCCTCTCCTCCTCCTCCTCCTCCTTTTTCTGCTTCCCTTGTGTTCCTCGTGTTCCTTCTCCTTTTCCTCACAGGCAGAGTTGCAGAAGATCCGCCAAAGCGTCGAGGCGAGGGATCGAGCCTTTCACCAAGCGTCATGGCCGGATTTTTGCTCCCCGGGTTGCCTCCCTTTTTCCCTTTTTGGAGAGGGTTTTTTTTCTGTTGCTAGGTCAGTAGTGCCCTTCGAACCCGAAAATGGGGGGAGGGTTCCCCTACTAAAATAGACTGCGGCAAAAAGGGTACCCGAATTCTAGCCTCTCTACAGGAGGACCTAGGTTGAAGTAAGCCAACAAGGGTGCCTTTTCCCCCTTTCTTCCCAAGGCCACGGGTCGATGCCAGGCGATGCCATGTTAGTTTCCATAAAATGAGGCGTGTAGGTGTGTGTGTGTGTGTGGTTGGCTCAAACCCTTTGGCTTCCCTAGACCGCGGGTATCCTCAAAGGACAGACCCAGGTCGTCTTTGTGAAATTGAGGGCCTCCAAAGTGTCTCGTCCTGCTGACGAAGTTGAATGTTTGGATATGTATAGGGTTTGTCGCATGATAGGAAAATCAGAAGTGTCCTAAGGCTTTCAATACAGCCCCCCTCTGAGGGTGTAAAAGTCAACAAGCTCACAATCGCAGTCTAAGGCATGGATTTGCGTCTCTCAAGTTGTGGTTCCCGTCGATTCTTTTCGTGTTCTCAAGGCTCTGTGCAGGTGTGGCAAGCCAAAATTCCCAAAGAAGCCCGTTTGACAACGCTCGTCAACCCTGTGCGCATGTTGAACTCACGGTGAGCTTCCTTTTCGGGTTGACCTCGGTCAACCCAAAACGGGCGTCCCGTCAGCTCCGGCTTCTTCTCAAGCCCCAGGATCCCAGCGTCTCGGACGAGGAGAAAATCCGCATACTCCACGAGGCGCAACCTGCGACTATCACAACTTCATGGCTTCCTGGGCGGGTCTTGCGGGGAGCTTTGGATCTATGCACGTCTTTCAGCAAACGGAGCCACCACACGCATGGAGTGATACAAGGCTAGCGTGTAGCCTGGCTGGTGTTGCGGGCAATGCAGGTGGGTTAGATTGTACTTCTTGATGCTTTGTGTCGAGTAAAGCAAACTTGGCTTGCACTCCAGCATCAGACCACCAAGTGGCTGTGACTGGTTGACTAAAACACCTGGTGATCGAAAAAGCGACATATGATGGCTGAGCAGTCGTAGTCGGACCGCTCAGCTACCAGTTGGCAAAGCTGGCTGAGAAGTGGCAGGCTGAGGCATGCTTTTGTTTTGTGTAGTGTCAGAACATTTAGGATTGGTTTTAGATAGGGTACTCCTGCAAATGTTGTATGTCATCCGTCTCACCCCAGACCATGGCTCAAGATGTTCTCCCTTCAGGCAGCCTGGAGCAGTTGAATTCGCTTCGAGATGTGTGTCCCAAGAGTGATGGGCACCTGCCGGCTATGCTTTGAGAAAATGCCGTTGGAAACACGTGGTAGCAAATAGAGAACATGCCATTGCCATGATTGTCCCGCTGCCGGCCACCACTGGGTTCGACTGGCATGAGAAAAAGTGCCTTACGGGGATGGTTTTTTTCAGTGGCTTCCACTGGCTGAACTGAAATGAATACTTTCACGCTCATTTCCCTTATTGGTTTTAACACGAAGCATTTAACTACTAGGTTACTAGGCATATGCTATTCTCCTTTCCAGGGCAAATGGAAGGTGGCATGCTGGGTAAACACCCCTGATCAAACACAGGACCCATGAACACTAGCACGAGGCAACCTGCCCTCAACCTTTTTGGGCTTTGTTTGAACGGGGTCCTAGACCACTCCAGAGCATAAACCGATTGCTCGTTTGCAAGACTCAAGACCAAGTTTCTGGGTCTAGAAGCCCTGCTCAGCTACGAGCTACGATTTTTGCGTAGGAGAAGCCAAAGATCAGCGTCCAACAAGGCCTTAGTAAGGGTTTAATGGGTTGTGGCTCCTTCCAAGTGGCAAGATAGTGGCATCCCAATAAGCCCCTGAGGATAGTGGAAGTCCCAAGTCACAATCAAACCCGCGTAGATGAAGGTTAGTAAGGCGTAATTCCCTTGTCATAAATGGGTGCCCTCACTGCATTGTTCATTCTTTGCATGTTTCTGGGTAGACCGTTTTCGTCCCAGGTGTTGATTCTGGCTCAAGTTTGCTTCGGTTTTTCCAGTCTAGGCGCTGCAGCAGCGGATCGACGACACGCGGGCCCAGGAGGAGGTGAAGGCGATGGCAGACCCGAGGTGGTTCTGGCTCAAAGGAGCCCAGACCGCAGATGTCATGGTTGTTTTTTTGCTACAAACGAGGAGGGGGGTCCACTTGTTCCTTTTGTTTGTGGTTTCCTGTGGAGGCGATCTCACAATTTACTTGGGGTGATGCCCCCTTTGAGCCACTGGAAAGAGAGGGTCATGAGGATGTGACTTTAATGGACGCAGTTCTGATGGTTTTTCCGAAGTGCAATGAGAACATGTTGTGCACAATCTCGAGTATGTTGTGCACAATGCATCCCTATCAATTTGACAGGAATCGCTTCCAGCTGCCAACAGTTGACATTTTGGTATTCCCAAGCAATTGTGCAAAGGTATGAAATTGCTTGGTGCATTGGACAGTCGCGCTGATTTTGAGGATAAGGACAACTACAAATGTTCTCTTGTTTGCCGGCTGGTCCAAACATGGCTTCACATTTGGAGCTGGCGTTTGCGACGCGATTGACATATTCGAAGACATGCCCCATAGGCTTGAAGCTGTGCACATCTCAATCAGAGAGTGCCCTCTTTTCCCTCCCTTCCCGTGGTTGTGTTGGATGTGTTCATTTCAGCATCACCACATGCGAAAGCTACATGCCCAAAAGCAGGAAACAAGGCTGCCATTTGCCGCGAGCATGAGGGTTCTTCAATGACCATCACTCCTTTAAAATTGACCAAACGCAACAGCCTAGGGGCAACCAAAGGGGGACGGCCGGCTTTTTGAACAAAACTTGTGTTCAAAGCCTCCCCATTCATTGAACACTCCCGCAAACCCCAACCCCTCGGCTGGCAAAGAGCCCATTGAGCAGGACGGAAAAGCGCTCAACTCCTAAACTGGGGGTAAAAGACACCCAAACCCGAAGGTCGCCGGTTTTTGAACAGCACCATATTGAAACCTAGTTGCCCAGCGGCGCCCTTGTTTTTGACTTTTTGGCAAGGGTTCCGATTTAACTCGCAGGGAATCAGTTGGAACCTACAACCCATCCATTCCCTATGGTTTCCTTTTGTCGGGAACCCCGAAATCCGGCTCTTTCAGCCAAAGCCCGGAGCAGAGCTTGCGGCCACGTGGCACCAAAGGCCCTTTCGCTTGCGAGGCCTCTGTGCAGAAGCGCCTTGAGAGCCTCAGCGCGGACCGGGAGCGCTATGACGCCGAGGCGCGGTTCAAGTACTGGACGGATGGCGTGCGCGACCAAATCGGAAAATCGGAAATCGGAACCCATGGGATGGGTTTAAAAGGAAACCCAAAGGAAACCACCTGGAGGAATTTTGTCCCCAATTTTGAGAAACACCCAAATGAATGTGGAGCCCAAAAGGCCATGGGCTTGAAGGAGTTGGAACCCCCTCAAGAGTACCCTATAAGACACACACACACACAAGAGTTTTTTTTTGGTCTCCGGCACTCCGGCTCCGGCCCGGCTCCGGCTCCGGCCCGGCTCGGCTCCTGCTCGGCTCCTGCTCCAGCCCACTCTCTCAGCACTTCGCACACACTTTGGTTAAATGGTTGTTCCAGAAAGTGAAGACCACCTGTATGTTAGATGGTTTGAAAAAGCAACAGTCAAGATGCTTTTTTGATCCAGCGTGATCCACACTGCGAAAGGTTGTTTCAAGATTTTCGGGTGTCATGATGTCAACATTGACTTAAGCTTGGTGGACGCATGTGCGAATTTCTACTGTTTCTTGGCTCCAACTCAACGGACCAGTTGAATTGGTTGAGCTGAGCCATGCTCTTCCGAGACTGATCGGTATCTTTGGGCAGATCAATGGCCCTACCCGGGCATGCCCAGGTTTCCCAATTCACTCCTGCTCTTTTCTTCTCCGAACCGGTACCGGAAGACTCCATAGCCGATTTAGCCTCGTCAGCCGATGTCTCATTTCTTTCTCGAGAGATCCTCCAGGTGGGTCAACTGGTGCTCAGGGAATGACCCAGGATTTTGGGAATGAACCTAGGGTTTCCCTCAAAGGACACCGTAGGCGATTGTTTGTAGGGGTCATTCTCTCACTGCCCATCGAACCAGCCAAAGCCTTGGTTTCTGAGCCCAGTCGTGGCCCTTGGTGTTCCCTTGAGCTGGCGGCTTGTGAATCAAAGGGAAACCTCGGTTTTCGAATTTCGGAAGTATCCCGGAAACGTGTCGCATTGATTTTATTTGATTAAAACATCACAGTTTCCCATTTCAGCCGGTTACATCACCGGAAGCCGGTGTCCAGGTTCAGCGCATTGCCACCATGAAGGTGAAGCTTGAGGCCGAGAAGTGGGGAAGTGGCCCAAAGACTTTGGAAGCTCCACGTTTCAGTGGCGGCAAACAAAATTGGTCTGGACTTGTGCTGAATCCGCTCTTTGTCATGTTTAAGGTACTCTCATGTTGACGGATTTGTTTGCCTTGGTTCTTGGTTCGACGGGAGGACCTTTCAAGTGTTTGGACAAATAGAAGTGACAGAACGCAATGTGGGCTTTCAAGTCTTTGGAAAAGCTTGGTTGCCCACGAACGTTGATGCGCTTGCAATAGTTTGCAGTGATACGCAGTTTAATTAACTTATTCCATAAGTTAATCCAGTTATCCAGTTGGACAGTCTTGTTTAAGTCTGAGTAGGCCGTGTGGAATGGCTGCATGCCAATCCAAACTGCGGAGCCTAGCAATGCCAAGCCATCAGTCAGTGGGTCCTTTCTTCGATGGACTGACTAGGTCACTTGAAGATCAGCATGGAACTCCAAAAATCATCAGTTTTTCAGGAGTCTCTTTTTGGGGAACCCCCCACCCAAGCAAAAAAAGAGAAAGAGGGAGAAGTTTCATGCTGGTTGGGGAAGGAGGTCCACAATGTTTCCACCAAGATACCCATCTCAGCAAGCCGCAGGCTTGCTGCAGAGAGCAGAAGGAGCAGATGAACAGCCTTGCCAAGGACACAGCAGGGCACCGGTTTGCCAAACCTTTCTTTTTTGGTTGCGCCCATTTTACCTTATGGTGTATATGGACGGGTGTGTCTCAAAATTATGACGACCCCTCCTGGCGCCTGGTTTTCTGTTGGTTTCCCTGGAAAACCATCCCAAGCAAGGCATCCCTTTGAGAGACACCCATTTAGCTATGAACTTTTGTCGGGAATCACCTCAAAAGTGTGGGTGGAAATCCCCTACGAGTTCCACCAAAAGGTCCGGCCGTTCCAATTGACACCCATGGGCCGGGGCCGCAGGTGTTCAGGTTCTGGTTGAATAAGTGCATCCCACTATGGAAGGTGGCAAGGTCTTCAAGGAACGATCAACTTCCGTGGGGTACTCGTGAGCCTTGCTGGTTTAGGGTGGGCGGGTGGCTTGCGCTCTTAAAGCCTACCAGGGGCCCTTTTTGTCCTACGTCAGCGGATGTTGAATTGCATGCCGAAGCCACGGGTGACAGCTGGAACGTCACGGCGTACATGTATGTATGTACACAAAGACACTACTTCTTGGAGACACTTCTTACTCAACGTTATCACACCAAATGTATCTATTTGCATTGGCTGCATTCTGACACTGCAGGACAACCAATCCTGATTGGTTCAAGATTTCGTTGGGTCGCTCAACAGCAAGCGGACAAACTGAACAGCAGGCAAGCCGCCATGGCGCGTGTGCGAGTGCGAGTGGGTGTGCGTGTGCGTGTGGGGGTGTGGGTGCGTGGGTGTGTGGGTGTGTGGGTGTGTGGGTGTGTGGGTGTGTGGGTGTGTGGGTGTGTGGGTGTGTGGGTGTGGGGGTGTGGGTGTGGGTGTGTGTGTGTGTGTGTCTGTGAGTCTGTGTGTGTCTGTGTGTGTGTCTGTGTGTTTGTGTGCGTGTGTGTGTCTATTTGCGTGTGTGTGTGTGTCTCTGTGTGTGTGTGTGTCTATTTGCGTGTGTGTGTGTGTGTGTCTCTGTGTGTGTGTGTGTGTCTCTGTGTGTGTGTGTGTGTGTCTCTGTGTGTGTGTGTGTCTCTGTGTGTGTGTGTCTCCGGGTGTGGAGTGTGGGTGTGCGCGTGCGCGTGGGTGCGCGGGTGCGTGGGTGGGTGGGTGGGTGGGTGCGTGGGTGGGTGGGCGGGTGGGTGGATGGGGGGCTGGGTGGGTGAGTGTTTGTGTGTGTGTGTATTAATGTGTGTGTGTGAGGCAGAGAGAGATGGCGAGCGCGCCTGCGTGTTGGTGCGTGTTGGTGCGTGTGTGTGTGTGTGTGGGTTTGCGCGTGCTTGTGAGTGCGTGTGTGAGTTCGTGCGGGAGTGCGAGCGTGCGGCGCGCACGTGCATGTTTGTGTGTGTGTGTGTGTATGTGTTTTCTTTGCGTGTGTGGTTGTGTGTGTGTGTGTTTGCTTGTGTTTTTAAGGGAAAGCTTTCTGGCGTTGCATTGCAGCCAAACCAAGCGACCGCCCCTTTCTTTGTGCACATGCCCTTTGTGCCGCTGACCATTTTTTCGGGGACTTTTAAGAGACCAGGGGCCCAGGCGCTCGAACGGCAGGAGAATCAGAAGCTTGCGGAGGAGGAACGTGAGCGACACTCCGAGCTCAAGGACGGGAGTGATGTTCAACCCGAAGGTCATCACCTTTCATTTTTGCTCAAGAATACGTGCTATTTCTATTTTCCCATGGGTTTAAAAAGAATCTATCGGGGGAAACATGTGTTTTAAGTTCCCAGCAAACTTAAGCAACTGGTGTCGAACTATTTGTCCGGCGGCAAGTCGACATGGGACCCAAAAAGGGGGTCATTAACAGGAGATTCCTGAAAACTGTTGGTTTTTTAGTTCCATGTCGATTTGCAGGAGTGTAGAATTGGGGGAACTGATGTTAGTTCTCCAATGAGGCTTGCATCCTGCTTTGTAAATTGGTACACCCAAAAGCGTGCAGCGATTGCACTGTCCCTTGTGGTTTCAACAAGTACCGGGCATCAGAACCCCGCAAAATGGTCCAGAAGAACAACGCCAACAAGCGCATGGGGTAATTGAACCCGCGGCTTTGTTTCCGGTAGGTTCTGCAGATGGGTACCTGAATTGGGCCATGCAAGATGCCAATATACTGATCCTTGCATTTCAAGAGCACCCAAAAAAAAAACAGCTCCAGATGGCCTGAGTCCTCACAACCCACGGGTTTTTGAAAGCCAGCCAGATTTCCCCGCTGACTGAAAGCCCCAAGTCCGCTCGCAAAGATCCGGTCTGGCCCCCTGGCCATGGATCGAAGCAGATCCACAGGTCGGGTAAGCCCTAGGTGCTTTGGATTGGTTTGGGATTTGAAGGTTTGGTTTTTTTTTCAGAGGGTGCATAGAAAAAACCACAGATCCACCAAACCAGACCAATCCAAACCACCTAAGGAGAAGCTGACAAGCAAGTGCAACCCAAGCTGTCCCTTGGATCCACGAGTGCGCGGTCCATGTCTTCATTGACCGAGCAGAACGCAAGGCGCCCAAATCATTTGCTTGGAGCGTTGCCAGGAGAAGTTTCAGGCTGCCATCCAGGATGTGCAGGAGAAGATGGATGCCGAGCTCGAGGCGCGGCCGGGCGGCCGCGAGGTTCCACACGGGCGAGCTCAAGACACCCCCGATGTCAGCCTTAGACAAAGGTTCCTAAAAAAGCCATGGCTCCCCCAATCTCCGTGGGTCGCCGTGTGTGTCACAGCACCACTCCAGAGCCAGGAACCCTGAATTTCTTAGCGGTTTCTTAAACTTGTCTTGATCTGTCAGTGAAACTTTAAGTTGCTTTGCAAGCTGAACTGGCGCTGGGCCCTTGTTTCATTTGAGCAGCATCAGAACATGCCCAACAACGTCTAAGCCAACAACATGGGTCTAAAGTTCCCTGCAAAATCAAACACCAATTGTCCCATAGGCCCATAGGGTACAGTGAATTTTGCAAGAGGCTCTCGCCAGGTTCGGCAGGGCTTCCTCAAGGAGAACGATGATCTCCGGAGTGCGCCTGCTGAGTTTTGTTTTTCCCCGTTGGTCGCTTTGATCGCTTTTGTTTCGACTTCTGCACCGTTCCCACGATAGATCATAGCCGGCATTCTTCCTCTCCAAAACCCCACAGAACTGAAGGTCTTCTTTTGTTCTCCTGGCCATCAGGCCCAGATTTGCACCTGGATTGAGGAGAGATTAAACAAAGAACATTGTTGATTTGCGCCGTAGGATTCGTCTTTTAATCTGTTGGTTTTTTCTCTTTGTGTCTTTGCGTAGGTGTTTAAATGTAGGGAGAGGTACATGGACGTCACCACTGGACGAACTTGGTTTCCAGCACCCCCAACCCGTTGAAGTGGCTACTGTATAAACTTAGCTAATAGCTGCATGTGCCGTTGAACACCAGTAGTAGTGGTTTGACATTAGTAGACACCAATCATCTCAAAGTGCCGCCGGAATAGCTTGGGGCTTGCAAATGCAGCGATCTATGTGCATCGCCTGACTCAGGGTTCACTTTGTTCACTTTGCCCGACCGGGGTTGTCCACTCTGCCACGCTTTCAGTTTGGCACTTGTCGGGGCTTG